AAGGCTAACAGGCTAAGCTGAGGTTCTTCTTCCATGAAGCAGCTCTGTTGTCCTCCATCYATATTATCAGTTCCAGGCTGAGTCATTTCTACCTTCTCCTCTCTGTCAACGCTCTCTGGTTTCATTTTTAAAAGTTGATGGCATACATGCCAACCTCTTCGGAGGTTTACCTGTATAAAAAGCCTCAAAAATCCATAAATTTTGCAAAAAATCTGCACAACTCGCACCCGCAGGAGGGTGTCCATCGGCTGCGGAGAGAAAGCACCTGCTGCGAAGCAGGAGAAAAGGAAAGCGGAAAAAGTTCCAAACTTATTTCTAGCGACAGAAAAGGTTGGTAGATGGCTATTTGATGTTATTTATTGTTTTTTAATCATTCTACAGGCTCTGACATGTTAGATAAATTTAAAATGAGGTTTTGAAAAAATCCGGAAGACTTGAAAAAAATTTATAAGATTGCTCTATACGTCCGTTTACCTGCAAAATGACGTAAAATCTTTATAACTTACTGATAATCCGTACAAGTTGACATGGGATCGTCAGATATAGTCCAAGATTAACCTTCAGGGTGGATATAGCTCGCTCACACCGAGGACCTATCCACGTCATCATTTACCCAGAATGCTTTGTGTGTAAATAAAATGGCTCTGTCCATGTTAAATATATATTTTAAAAAATTTACAAAACTAAACAGTCTACAGTATTTTTACAGTCTTTATTTTACAGTTAAAATAAATGTTTATCAAATAAAGTCTAATGTAACAAACTAATCAGGGATCCCTTTAAAGTGGTCTTGATCAAAGTTACTTTGGGTTTTCTGAAAGTCTTTCAAATGTTTTCTCTGAATTGGGCCTGTTTTTTCACTCATTTTCATTTTTATTACTCACAATTTTAGAGGTATATTTTTTGTTTGACTGATTGATAAGCCACTCTTAGGTCCCAAGTGATTTCCTTGGAGTTTGTACTCAAAATAACATGCCCACATATAATTAAGTGCATTATACAATATATAAACCTTTTTTTAAACATCATAAATAAGGCTATAAAAACTCATGGAAACCACAAACCCAACTGCAGAAAAGTAAAAAAGAAAGTTAAAATTCTGCCACTCCTTTAGTTGAATCTTTGAAACACAGAACTTTTGCACAAAATTAAAGTTTTAATTTAAACTGCGCATAAATTAAATTTGGTATTGTTGTGCTGAACAGTGGATTGTTTAGAGTCGATAGTTTTCTCAGTTATATAAACCTGTGGTTACATCTAACACTTATCATATGTAAAAACTTCTTGTGTTCATCTGCTCTGATGCTGAATTTGTACGTTTTCTGTGTGTGTTCTCACTTTTCTGGGAGGTGCGTGGAATATAAAGGTAGCTGTAGAAGCCAGTGTACACCCTCAGCTGGCTCTCTGTCACAGAGAACTCCTTCAGGTACCCGTTGATGGAAAAGGTCTCAGTCCAGTCCAGCCAAATCACTGTCAGGTTACTGTCCACTAGGAAGGGAGACACGTACTGAGGAGCTGATGGGAGATCAGAGACATTTTGTTTTAATGCTTTCTGTAATTGGTTACCTTTGAGGGTAGATAGACTGGATGGATAGAGCTGTTACCTTCGCTGAGAGTGCTAACAGTTGTCCAGTTGGAGGCAGTGCTGCCCATGTTATTGAAGCAGGCAGCTCTCAGCTTGTAGGTGGAGTACGGTCGGAGACCTGCACAGTTGAAACATGTTTCGTTACAAAAGCTCATGATAATAGGATTCATAGATTGACGGTTGGTTTAAGACTTGTGATCTTTGGGAATAAAATGAACTCTAGATTTTCTGCCGTGTTTCTGGATAAAGCATGCTTTGTAAAGAGAAACATGTACAAAACCTGTAACGTTGTAGCTTCGCTGTTTGCCAAAGAATACGATTTGTATTGGTCCTTCTTCACAAGGTAGGAGTATGGGCTGGGGGGGTTGAGGGCAAGGCGACCGGAGATGAAGCTCCCAACTGGACGCAGGAACGAAGTGACGTTATCATTTCTGTGTGTGCTTTGTGCAGCGCACACCTGTCACAGACTCTCCTCACCTGTCGATGACTCCGTTGGGTGCTAAAGGCTCGTCCCATTCCAGCTGAACAGAACGGGAGGTTAACGTGACAATTCGAGGAGGGGGCTGGTTGGCTGGGGCGGCAGCGAGGGTGTAGAGCTGTTTGAGGGGACCCTGGCTACAACACTGATAAATGTTCAAAACAGAGACATTAAAGAGCCTGAAATGCATCTTGCTATACATTTACTTAACTTTAACAAAATCATCCAAATTAGTTTAGTGTAGAAACTAGGGCTGGGCAAAATCGTATCATGTGCAATTAATCATCAGAAAAACTGTCAATTAATATTTGTCACTTTGCAATTACTGCAATTAGTGCCACGTGGTGACGTATTTTTGTGTGACTCATACCTACTATCATGTGTGCATGTGAGCCTGTGGTGTTTTGCTTTACTAAAATACTGCTGCCTCTTCACATTGTGGAAAAGTTCGGTTTCAGTTCACAGCTTACTATTTTAGCTTGTTGAAACAAAAAAGTTTGATGATTTCTAAGTATAGTTTTAGGACACGGGGCAATTGATTTGGAATTACACCCATACAAATTCAATTGTCATCTATGAATGTTACTGGCTAAATGACACCAATAATTTTGATTAATTTTTTGCCAATATCACCCAGCCCTAGTAGAAACGACCCGTTTAATTTCCTCACCTGATAACAGGTGCAGGCCTCAACTCCTACCCAGTACTGAGTGTACGGGCGTAAACCATGGAGGGTCTGCTGAAGGGACGTTCCCTCTGAGAGCTGCAGGACAAACACAACGTTGAGAAATGTCAGACTATTAGTCATGAAATCATGTGGCATTCAAAAGAACAACGGAATGGTAAAAAGCCAAAAAAAAAAATAGGGCACATGTATTTTACCAGAGTACGGTTGTTGTGGTCCAGTGAGAACACTCTGTAAAGACTAACAATCCCATTGGGTTGGGCTGGAGGATGGATCTCCACTACAGTGGAGGTCGCTGAAACTTGCAGAAAAACAGGCGGGTCGACAGCTTCGGGCGGGGCAGGACCAGTCCTCCCACTGACCCACGGACTGGCAGAATAACCAGCTGAATTCACTGCCCACACCTGTTGGTGAGAAAGCACCAGGTTTAAATCAGAGCGGTGATCAGATTTCACTCCAACGAAAGCAGGAAGGAACAAACTGTAACAGACTTATTTCTCCTTCTCTTTCATCCTAAGTGCATTTTATGAACTCTTACCGACAAAGGCTTCTCTTAATTAACCAATATCCACCAGATCAACAGAAGAGTGCGAGTCAATTCAGTGAACCATCCATCCATCAAAACCACCATCAGCAGTGAGAGCAGAACCTTTTCGCCATGCAGCCCAATACCAACATATCTGCATGACAATTACTTTTCACCTTCATCAAGGAGTTATTCGCGCACTCACACACACGGTAATCTTATTTGTGTGCTTGTGTTGGGTATAATTAGAAGGTGTACACAGCACAGGGTCAGTCAGGGTGGAGATTTGCATGTGTAAGTCATCTGTAGCCTGTCAGAAGCAGTGCAGAAGGCAGATGGATGGGTTTGAGCTTTAGAGTTGAAAGTGTGTGTCTGTGTGTGCGGTTTGTTGTTTGTGGCAACGACCGCAAGTTTGGTGTGTGCACGAGTGTGCGTGCACGTGTGTTAAGAGTTGAATTAACCTCAATAATAGTCAATTAGGCAGTAATCAATCAGACTGATTGATCTAAGTGACAGCACAGATGGACTGAGATGGGAGAGGGGAAAGAAGAAGAGGAGATGGAGAAGACGAGAGATTGGGGGAAGGAAAGCAGGACGAAGGGTCAACAAGACGCAAAGAGGGAACGCAGGATGGACGCAGAGGAACCAGAAGAAAATTGATTTGGTTATTTTGTGACACAGTTTGACATGGATCTTAGATCCCTTTAAACCTGCAGCAAACATACTCTGAAACCCTGCTGCGTTTCACAGACTTTCTAAAGCTAAACTTATTTAAAGTAAATCAAACTTAAACTTATTAAACATAAAAAGGATGTATTAGTGATTTCCCATTATTGTGTCTTTGTATTTCTTAACATATTCACTTTATCTGATTCTCTTTTCTGATTCTGGTCAAAAACGTGGCTCAGATTTCAAAAAAATATATATTTTTTATTTTATTTTACCAAAAAAAGCTATCTTTTGAAATGTTTTCTAGGAAAGTCACCAGCCCTGCAGTTCGTTGGTGTCATTAATGGTTTAAACTGTGAAATTAAACTTTATATTTAAATGCACAGAAGGATCTTCAATAAGTGCCCACATCCAAAT